CCGGAAGCGGCCACTGCCCTCCAGTCTGGGCAACAGAGTGAGACTCCAACTCAAAAAAAAAAAAGTTAGTCATAGTCATAAGTGCCTGACTTATAAGATAGATATTGGAGAGAAGCTGTTTTCTGAGAAGAAAGATGAAAAATAGACTGGGCGTTGTGCGTCATGCCTGTAATCCCAGCAGTCTGGGAGGCCAAGGTGAGAGGACTGCCTGAGACCAGCCTGGGCAACATAGAGACCTCCTCTCTACAACAAATCAAAAAGTTAGCCAGGCATGGTGGTGGTGTGCACCTGTAGTCCGAACTACTTGGGAGGCTGAGGCGGAAGGATCACCTGAGCCCAGGAGGTCAAGGCTGTGGTAGCTATGATCGCGACTGCAGCCTGGGTGACAGAGTGAGACTCCGACTCAAAGAAAGATGAGAAATAGGAGAGCCCACTTTTCATGTGCATTTTCCAAAGGTAAGGCATGAGTTATTTCTTTGTGTATTACTTATTGTGTAACATCTTATAGGCAAGGAAATCAAAAGAGACTGAAGACACAGCCAGCGAGCTGTTGTTCCAGGGCATCCAGTACCCAGAGTACGACCGCTGCAGGGCGAAGGCTATCCTGCACCAGCAGAAGCGGATGGAGTGCTACAAGAAGGCCAGGGAGGCCTACCGCATGGGCAGGAAGAATGTGGCCACCTTCTATGCCCAGCAGGTACGGGGCATCACTGCTGTGGTGTCTTCGCTGATTGTAGAGGCTAAGTGTTCCTGAAACAGAGGATACCTGTACTGTCACTAGGTGAGGTTAGTCTGGGAAATGTGAAGCTTTTAGGGCATATGTGGTTTTGAGAGTTTCGTTGCCTTTGAATGCCCAGTTTCCTGGTTGCTTTTGCACTTATAGCTTACGTGAATTACAGTTTGTTCTGACAGTCTGTATGCTCTTTAGGTTGAAGTCTGGCATTCAGTCCTGCTTCTAAACAGACTGGTTTGCAGGAAAGGCAAGAGAATGTTGGTATTGGTCATCTCAGGGTGGGATTCCAGGGGTTTTGTGCGTTCTTGAATTTGAATTTTTAGTAATGAATCACTTTTTAGTTAGAAAAATTAATTTTTTTAGGACAGTAACATTTCTACTGGACCCATTTGACGTGGAATTATAAGCAACCTGCTTGATTAACTTTTTGTGTCTTTGGTTCCATGTGGCTTGCTTCTTTGGGGCTGAGCAGGGTAGGCTGTCTGCGAGCTAGAGAACCAGACACTCCAGTAGGTGGCTCAGTCCAAGTCCAAGCCCAGAACCAGGGAAACCAAACCAACAGTGTGGCCTCGAGGCCAAGGCAAAGGCCCAAGAGCCACCCAGAGGCAGCTGGTGTGAGTCCCAGCATCCCAAAGCAGAAGATCATGGAGTCTGAAGTCCAGAGGCGGGAGTAGAAAAGCGTTCCGCTCAAGGAGGGAGGGAAGGCAGAGAGAGAGCAAGCCCTATGTTCCGCCTTGTTGTCCCTGTGCCCCTGTGGGTGGGTGGTACCCGCCCACATCAAGGGCGGGTCTTCCTCTTCCCGTTTCCTCTTGAAACACCATCACAGACACATCCGGAAGCAACACTTCCTGGGCCTTCATGGCGTCTTTTCATCCAGTCCATTTGACACCTAAAATTAGCCATCACAGTTGGGCGTGGTGGCTCACGCCTGTAATCCCAGCACTTTGGGAGGTGGAGGCAAGAGGATTGTCTGAGCCCATGGGTTTGAGACCAGCCTGGGCAACATGGCAGGACCTTGTCTTAAAAAAAAACAAAGCCAACTAGGTGGCTCAGCCTGTAATCCCAGCACTTTGGGAAGCCGAGGCAAGAGGATTGTCTGAGCCTGTGGGTTTGAGACCCCCCCCCCCGGGCAACTTGGCAAGACTTCGTCTCTACAATAAATAAAACAAAAAATTAGCTGGGCGTGGTAGCGTGTGCCTGTAGTGTAGTTATGTTGCCCAGACTACTTGGAAGGCTGAGATGGAAGGATCGCTGGAGGACAGCAGGTCAAGGCTGTGGTAACTGGGAGCATGCCACTGCACTCCAGTCTGGGTGACAGAGTGAGACTCCAACTCAAAAAAAAATCATCACAGATGGGTTACATTTCCCACTTTTATGATTTTTGGTTCAGAAAATAATTGGAAGCAATGATTCGGAAGTTTAAGCATCACATTGTTAGCCGGGCTTGGTGGCTCAGCCTGTAATCCTGCCCCTTTGGGAGGCTGAGGTGAGTGGATTGCCTGAGCTTTCGGGTTCGAGATCCTCCTGGGCAGGCGAGACCTCATCTCTACAATAAATCAAAAAATCAGCCGGGCGTGGTAGCGCGCGCCTGTAATTCCAGCTACTCAGAAGGCTGAGGCAGAAGGATCACCAGAGCCCAGCAGGTCGAGGCTGCGGTGGCCGGGAGCGGCCACTGCACTCCAGTCTGGGTGACAGAGTGAGACTCCAACTCAAAAAAAAAAAAAAGAATCACATTGTTTTTTTCTTTTCTTTTCTTTTCTTTTTTTTTGAGTCTGAGTCTCACTCTGTTGCCCAGGCTGGAGTGCACTGGCATGCTTATGGCCACTGCAGCCTTGACCTGCTGGGCTCAGGCAACCCTTCCTCCTCAACCTTTCAAGTAGCTGGAACCATAGGTGTGTGTCATTATGCCTGGCTAATTTTTTATGATTTATTGTAGAGATGAGGTCTAGTTATGTTGCCCAGGCTTTCGAACCCCTGAGCTCAGGCAATCAGTCCTCTTGCCTCAGCCTCCCAAAGTGCTGGGATTATAGACTTGAGCCACCGTGCCTGTTCTCTTTTTTTTTTGAGTTGGAGTCTCACTCTGTTGCCCAGGCTGGCGTGCAGTGGCACCTCATGGTCACTGCACCTCGACTGCTGGGCTCAGACAATCTTTCCGCCTCAGCCTTCCAAGTAGCTGGAACTACAGGTACATGCCACCATGCCCGGCTAATTTTTTAATTTATTGTGGAGACGAGATTTCACCAAGTTGCCCAAGCTGGTCTTGAATCTCTGGGCTCAGGCAATCCTCGCTTTAGCCTCCCAAAGTGCTGAGATGACAGGCTTGAGCCACCGTTCCCAGCCAAGAATCACATTTTTAATTCACTGACATTTATCTCCATTCGGTGCATTCTTGGCTGCTGGCCCATTGCATTTTTTTATCTTTCCTCTGCCTTTTACTCGGGGCACTGTTGGTTTCCTCCTCACCCAAGTAGCACATGCCGAGTGTCCGTGGTGTTCTGTTGTGCTTAAAGGGCGGGCAGCATGAGCAGAAGAGGAAGGAAGCCAACCTCCTGGCCGCCATGGAGATCTTTGAGAAAGTCAACGCCTCGCTGTTGCCGCAGAACATTCTAGACCTCCATGGGCTGCATGTGAATGAAGCTCTAAGACATCTGGTGATAGTTTTACAGCAGAAAATGAAAGGTAGGGCTGGGGAAATAACAGACTTTCAACAGAGTATATATCCTTGCTCACGTGGGTGTAACCCCAAGTTCAGGAGATCTGACCGGAAGGCTGAGTAGATACTGTGTTGGTGGTTTCTCAAGAGACCCTTTTTGGGGAAGCGTCCTCACTGGTGTGACCCTGAACATTTTCTTTTTTATTTCTCTATTTCGGTTTTTCATATTCCTTTGTGGTATTTATTAAAGAGAGGGTAAAATGTAATCTAAGAATCCTCTGTCACTTATAAGTGAGACCTTTCAGGATTATTATATCTCTTTGTTCTGTAGACGTTTGTTAAACTTAATAGCTATTTACTGGATGTCAGTTGTTCAATACAGAAGTAAGTCGGGCTATAGGGTTTTTAGCATGATCCCAAGAGACAGGATTGCTACGTATCTACAGTGTGGCCCTACCCTCTCCGCCTTTCTGCTGGTGTCTTGTCTTTGCCTCTTTCACGCCTGTAATTCCAGCACTTTGGGAGGCTGAGGCACAAGGATCGCTTGAACCCAGAAGTTTGAGACCAGCCTGGGCAACATAGTGTGACCTCGTCTCTAAAAAAAAAAAAGAAAGAAAGAAAAAAAAAGAACCAGATGTGGTGGTGCCTGTAGTCCCAGCTACTTGGGAGGCTGAGGTGGGAAGATGGTTTGAGCCCAGCAGTTTAAGGCTGCGGTGAGCCGTGTTTGTGCCACTGCACTCAACCTGGATGACAGAGTGAGGTGCCAACTCCAAAAATAAGTAAAAATTGCAAGGGGAAAAAAAAGAGATAAATAACTTGTCCAGGGTGACTCCTGATCAGACAGACTCAGGTTGTCCTTTCTGGAGGCCAAAGCCCACCCAGTGCAAGCTGCCGCCAGCGCTAGCCTATTCTTACTGTCAGTCACCACCAGATGGCGGTGTTGTCGAATGGAAATGTGTCGGGGGATTCTGGCTCTGATCTGCTTGGCTTGTGTCATGTTAATGTGGAAAGGTCTGTCAAAAATGGAGATGAATTAAGGAAAAAAAAAAGAGACATCTGGACCTTCTGTCTCTTCTGATTGAAATAGACACCCAAACCTTGGCCCCAAATCAGCAGCAGATGAAACTTTTAGAACTGACTACAACTCTATAGGGATTTACAGGGGACAGAAGAACACATGAAATGGCACCACAGGGATAATTTGCAGAATCCAGACTGTGGAGGTCTGGGATAAATGAACCGAGTGGTTTTTTCCCCCAATAAATTGTAAAGAAAAACACAAGGGAGGGAAAAAATCTTTAAATTAAACATGACTTAAGAAACACATTACCAGCCCTGATTCAAATCAAATCCGTGTAAAAAAATTTTTTTAGCTAATTAGGGGAAATGTTTAGAGACACATGATTTTTCTTTTCTTTTTTTTTTTGAGTTGGAGTCTCACTCTGTTGCCCAGGCTGGAGGACAGTGGCATATTCACGGCCACCTCAGCCTTGACCTTGACCTGCTGTGCTCAGGCGATTCTTCCATCTCAGCCTTCCATGAAGCTGGAACTACAAGTGTGTGCCACCACTCCAGGCTAATTTTTTTTATGATTTGTTGTAGAGACGAGGTCCTGCCATGTTGCCCAGGCTGGTCTCGAACCCCCTGGCTCCGGCACTCCTCTTACCTCTGCCTCCCAAAATGCTGGGATTATAAGCATGAGCCACTGCACCCATAGCTGTTTCTTTCTTGAGTTGGAGTCTCACTCTGTTACCCAGACTGGAGTGCAGTGGCATGCTCCTGGCCACTGCATGCCACTACACTCTTGGGCTTAGGCGATCTGTCCACCTCAGCCTTTCAAAAAGCCAGAAGCACAGGCATGCGCTACCACACCTGGCTAAATTTTTAAATTTATTGTAGAGACGAGGTCTCACCAATTTGCCCGGGTGGGTCTCGAACCTGCGGGCTCCGGCAATCCACTCACC